TCACAATTTTCTCACTTCCGGACTGATGGACCCCATTCTCATCTTATAAGCGACGGATAGTATTTTTGCTCTTCCTACATGAAGCTCTCTAGTGGAAAAATTTAGTGTTTCGATCCCCTTCCGAGAGCCATAAGACTCTCAAATGTTGATTCCAATAGACCTCCTCAGGGCACACTAACCTCGCAATGTCACGAACAAGAGCCTTTCTTTGTTCAATTTGAGCAGCCGACAATTTCCCACAATTCAGCTTTTGAAGCTTTTTTCGCTTTTTCCTCAACTCACGAAATGTTGCACCGAATTTCTCACTGCTCCATTTTTTCAGTCCCTCAGCACAAGCTTCCATCTTTGACTCCAAAGAAAACGCACCATTCCAGGCCACATCAACAATATTCTCACAACCCTCATCAACTTGCCACATCTGCTCAAACCTAAATGGTTTATCCCCAAGCATCTCATTACATTTACTCCAGCCAACAAGTTTAATAGGCGCATGATCGGACCATTCTCTATCAGTATGTATCAAGTGTGCCTCCGGAGCCATGGCCAACCAAGAATTAGTAGCAAGCGCTCTATCAAGTCGGCATTGAGTATTCTCATCACCCTCCCTCCCATTATCATAGTTGAAGTCATAACCTGTATAAGAAAAAAAATTCAAGCCACGAAAATTTCCGCATCCCTAAAATTAGCCATTTGCCACTCAGCTCGATCATTATGGCTACTCTTCTCAGACGGGAACATATTCTCATTGAAATCACCAATGCTCACCCATGGTAAGTGTAATTGAGAAGCCAACTCCCTAAGAAAACTCCAAGAAAGATGACGGTTCCCAACCTCCGGCCACTCGTAAAACCCTGTAAGTCTTCAAGGTTCCTCTCCTAACCCCCTACCAATCTCAACATCAATGTGATGCACCGACATAGATTGCGGAGTAACATCAATATCCTTCTTCCATAACAATGCAATGCCACTAGAACGCCGGCCATTAAACTCACCAATTCTATCTTGAACTCTCCTAAATTCGATACTACTTAGCTTCGTCTCTGATAAAAATGATAAATAAAAAGTTATACCGCAAGTGCACGGTGTCTGTTGTTAGCAGAGACTTAGCAAATACGGGTCGAATCCCACAGGGAGACATTTTCTATTAGTTTTTGCCCAATTATTATAAACTATTTCAATAAACGAAGAGTGGTTTGATAATTAATTAACTAAAGTACGACAATAATAAAAATAAGGTTGCTCTCAGATAAATTAAAATCTAGGGAAAACGTTCGGTCCACCATTCTTATACCAAACCAAGAAATGCAAACAATCCATTAATAAACAAATTAGGTCGAATAATTAAAGCACTTATTAATCCTACGGTCGGGAATTAACACTTGCGAATTAACATATGTAGTTCGGTCGCTAACATAATCAAATTCGCCAATTGTAATTAAGCCTCTAAAAATATGATCTTTCAATTCTAATTTTTATTAGCTAAATAATTAACTCATGATATTGGCCAATTAAATGAATCAAACAATAAAGCACAAATAAATTGGAATTATTCAAACCCTAATTCATAAATTTATAAATAATTAAGCACAAATAATCATGGTATAAACATGGCTTCCCTCACTTAACCCTAGAAAACGACTACTCACTCATAGTTGAAATAAACAAAACAAAAGAGATAAATAAACTTGAATTCATAATTAATAAAATAAATAAATAACGAAAAGAATAATTGAAATACTTCGATGATTGAATTAATGAAGAATGAAAAGCTAGGGTTCAACAATGGAGAGAAAGAAAACTAAGAAGCATTTAATCTAGAAAAATAAATCATAAAAGAGGAAAATAAGATCCCTCAAGTATTTATATTCAAGTCTAATTCTAAGATAAATAAAATATAAATAAATAAATGCATAAGCTACAATATTATTGGATGGTAGATGATGATATGGCAATAAATAAAGTCGGTAGACCGATGACGTGAAAAGAAGTGAAGACTTAAGGTCGCTCGTGGCTTCAAAACGCTGCTCAACCACTCGACCAGACCCGCGGCCACAGGGTGGTTCCCGCGCCCTGGCAGTGGCGGCAGCGGGCATCGGGTGGCCGCAGGACAGACCCGCAGCTATATCCCTCGGGTGGCTGACTGCATTGCTTAGTTTCAAACGCTCATAACTTCTGTTCTAGGAATCTTCTCGGGGCGTGCAACCTATCATTGGAAAGCTCTTCAAGTCTAGTTTCCAATGCAACTTGAATCACTTCATTCCAATCTGTAAAACTCGAGTTATGGTCAAAACATTGAGCAAAGGTCATTTTTGGACACCTTGCAAGCCTTCGTTCTTCTCTGTTTCTAACTCGAATTCGCTTCCGTAAGGTCCATAGCGACTCTCGTGGATGCTATTTTCATTTTCCATGCATAGAATCCTTAGAACCAACATCCACGAGCATAAATCCCTCGATCAATGAACTCGATTCATCGATTTCCATTCAAATATCATCCGTATCATCTCTAAACACTTCGAAAGCTTCCAAATGACTATGGAATCACCTGAAACATTAAGAAAAACACAAACGGAGCGTAATAGAGCGACATATAATGACTTATGCAGACATGACTCCAAAATCGACTAAGAAGATTATGAACAAGCTCTAAAACTAGCATAAATGTACCTAAATAAAACTATATAAATATGATTTATCAAAAAACACCATCGTCAGGGCCTCTATTCGAATTAGGTCCCAAAGACCCGAAACTGCAGAGGAATTGTCCAACCCTCTACAATTTAAACTTAAAATACTCATTGAGTCCGGCGGAGCTGCTCATTAGCAGCTTTTGCCAATCGCCATCCATCCAAAGAATCAATAGAAACATTTTTTTTTTTGAAACTTTCCCAACATCAATTTCAGCATCATCATCAGTTCTTACAAGCTTCCAAAGGGCCCTATCATTTTCATCTCTCATCACAACATCATCTGACCCCCCTCTCTCCCTAGCCAACTACCTCCATCCCCTAGCAACCCTTTAAAATTTTTCTGCTTTTCCCCAGCTGCAAAAACCACCTGCTCCCCCAATAAAACCCTTGTCCCTTTGCTCACCTCACTGTCTATTTTATCACCCTCCCCATTTAAATTGTCCAGCTATCTTTCCCTCACACAACCCAACACCCTCTCCAACACTAATGCCCCCACTTGACCATCACAGCCCTGCACTCCTAAAATCACCCCATCCGACCCACCATTATCATTCAAAAGCCCACCTGCATACTTCTCCCCACTACCCATATCATCCTTGGTCAACACAACACTATTGTTTAAAGAATGAATGGGATAATTTATACCCTCAATTAGAAAATTAATATTCCCCCCCCCCCCCCTTTTATCAACTACTTCATAGCCAAAACACATGAAATATAATGACTTCTCTCTCTAGCTCTCATTTTCTCTCACTAAGGTCATCAAGGGTTTCCCTCCTTGCTTAGGCAAGAAGGCCTTGGGAGCCTTTTTTAGAGATCTTGTTTGCTTTCTTTCTCAAATTGTTTTCTTTTACAGGTATTTGGTGGTCGAGTTCCTCTTTGCCCTGTCCTGTTTTCAGTTCCTTTCTTTCTTTGCTTTTTCTGTTTTGGTCTTAGTTGTATATGTCATGATCACCTCCAATTCAACACCTCCTAGTGGTGCGCGTGATGTGCATGTGGCTTCTGATTTAAGTCCTCAACAACTTGATATCAACATCAAAGATCTCATGATCCAAGCTGATATCAATATGATGCTTAATCAAGACGAATTACCAGATGAAAACCCTGCTTCAAAAATTACAGGCGTCCCCTCAATTCAAGATGTTAATATGCTTGATGAGGACAAGGAGTGTAACACTTCTGAGATAAATACTGCTCCTGATCTATTGAACGGGAAAAACAAAAGTATCACACCTGTGATCAAACAATCTTTTCGTGAGGCTGTTCAAACTTCTTCCCAATGGTTTTCGGAGGCTCAAAAGATTGTAATTTCATCAACTGAATGGGAAGATAATGATATACCTTTTCCTGATCCTATGAAAGTTGTCTCTTTTCATAAAGACACTCTAGAGAAGCTTAGGAAACCTTGGAAATTAACTCTTATGGGGAAGTGTTTGGGGATTTCAGTTAGGCCTTCTTTTATTACTCAAAGAGTTAGGGTTATGTGGAGACCAAAAGGTTACCTTGAGATTATTGATCTTGGAAAGGATGTGTATCTTTTTAGGTTTTCTATCCAAGATGATTATGAAAGAGCCATGTTAGGTGGTCCTTGGTTCATTTTGGATCATTACTTAATGATAACCAAATGGAAACCTAATTTTAGACCATCCATGAATCCGTTTGATAGAATGACTGTTTGGATCAGGTTTCCTGAATTGCCGGTAGAATACTATGACAAGGAAGCTCTTTTCGACATAGCAAAACTAGCATGTAACCCTCTCCGTGTTGATTATGCTACTGATCATCTTACTCGTGCTAGATATGCTAGGGTATGTCTTGAATTTGATTTAACAAGTCCTTTAATTACAAATGTTTGGATAGGCAATGGGTGGCAAGCAATTGTGTATGAAAATATTCAGTGTTTTTGTTTCTTATGTGGTAAAATTGGTCATACTAAAGAAAAATGTACTCTAAAAGTGGGTTTGGTAGACAAAGGTAAAGCCTTGCTTCACAATCCTTCAAGTCATGAAAAGTCTTCACCCTCCACTAATTATGAAAATAATATTTCTCCCATTATCCTAGAAAAGCCTAATTCTCCCATTGACATTAATATGCCTTCTTCTTCCATTAGCCATGATTTAGGGGTCAATGTTCCCCATATTTCAAATGAATATGGCCCTTGGACAATTGTTACAAACAAAAAAAAATTTATCAATCTAAATCCTTAGCCAAAAAAAATGGTACTTCGTCTTTGGTTTCTTCTAAACCGAGCCATAATCCTCACAATATTTCTCCCTTGAAGCCCAACTCATCGAAGCCCATTTCATCGAAGCCCACTGCCTCTCTGATATCCTCTAAGCCCAGTCCATCATCGAAAAATAATAAGCCATCCCTATATTCTGATAAACAAAATATGGAATCAATTTCTCCTAATTCCTTTGCCTTACTGGATTCCTCTAACCTTTCCCCAACCAATCAAATTTTAGAAGATAAAATAATACTAGGCAATGATGAGCAATTTCTCGAAAAAAAAAATCACCAAAATCCCGGAAATATTTCCCCCATTTCTCTTCCCCCTCACGCTACCCCTTCTTCTTCAATTGCTCCTTCAAAAAACCTTGAATGCCATTTGGCATCCAATAACTCGGCTACTGTAATGGAATTGCATGCAAACCCTTCAAATTCCCCTATATTATCTTCAATCTCAGACAATATGATCACTCAATAAAACCTACACACTGAAAAACAATCCAAAGAAATCCCCAAAAATGGAGAAGAGCAAGGCAAAAATTCCACCCATCCGACCACCGCGACGGACGGCGAGGATATCCAGGAGGCTGTCCTTTGCGCCGCCGCAGAACCCTCTCACTCCATCGACCAGCCTATCATTATCTCCACCCCCAATTCCCCACCACCTCCCAATCACTCCTGCTCAACCCCTTTCCATGAGAATGCCATCACCCCTCTTCCACCACCCAACTCCATCTCCCTCATTCCCCACCCCGAGCCAATTCCCGTTCAGGCCGACACTATCACCGGCCGAAATTTCGAAAATTGTTTCAACTCCTCCATCTCACCCGATTCCCAACCATTCGACTCCTCTGCTATGGTCATCGATCGAGTCGCCTCCAACTCCGGCGAAGATAGAGATGATGTACACACGTTGCTTCAAATTACCAAAATGATGAATTCTCAACTCCATCATCTCAATCCTCTTTCTGTGAACCTTCCATCTCCATCGACCCCTCCTTCACAGCAGCCGCTAATTCCATGGTTCAAACAGCAGGTTCCATGGCCAAGCTACCCTCAACACGACCTGATTCCTCCACCCTCCAACCCCCAAATAATCAATATCACTTTGGGAAACAGCGAACAAGATCTAGAAAGCCCCGATCACCTTATGAAAATATTCGTGATCAGAAAAGGGATAGTGGGGTTACAACTAGAAGTGAATTTTTGGGAAACAAAGAACACGACAAGGGAGTTGGATTCAATGGTGATACCACTGAAGATGCACGACATTGTATCGATGGAACGCACGATGCAATGGAAGGAGTGGGACAAATTTGATATTTTGTTTTGCGGGGGTAATCCTGTTCCAGAATTTCCTGATCTCAACATGAAAATAGTACTTTGGAATGTAAGGGGGGCTAATTGCTGCTCATAAGACTAGTATTTTCATTATCTTAGAGACTAAAAGTAATGGCTTGCGTGCTGAAAAAGTGGCGAAATTGCTTGGTTTTGATGCCTTCCAATTTATCAATCCTAATGGACTTAGAGGTAGAATCTGGTTAATGTATAATAGGAATGTAGAATTGATTGATTATGTTGAGGGTGAAACAAAAAATTATTTTCACGCTCTATTTAAATTCTCCCCGGATAGTAGGGAGGTTTTACTATCTGCGGTTCATGCTCCCTCTTCTCCAGCTAAGCGTCACAAGCATTGGAATGACTTGCAAGCTACTCTTCCCCCGGATGACACTCCATGGTTATTTTTGGGGGATCTTAATGAGGTGACCAAACCATCTGAGAAGTCGGGTGGTCTGCGGTTTAGACAAACGCAGTGTTTAGATTTGAACAAGCTTGCGGAGGCTGCTTGTTTGGTGGATCTTGGCTTCTCAGGGAACCCCTTAACATGGCATAATGCAAGGGAGGGCCTCGACCTTATTCAAAAACGTTTGGACAGGGCATTAGGGAACCCGAGCTGGCTAAATACCTATCCCAATACTCAGGTATCGCATCTTGCTCGTACTTATTCAGATCACTGCCCTATTTTAATTTCTGTTTTTAATAATCGTAAAGGTGGTCCTTATCCTTTTAGGTGTAAAGCTGCATGGTTAGAACATAGTGATTTCTTTGCCTTTTTTGTTAAAAATTGGGATTTGCATGCTTATGATTTTCTTAAAGGAAGATCCGAATTCCTTACTAATATTAAAGCAGCTTGGAATCATGACATATTTGGTAACATTACTAATAAAAAAAAAAAAGAGATTGATGGAATCCAAATAGCTCTTTCTAAAAAGCAGTCTCCCTTTCTAGTTAAATTAGAAAAGGATTTACTTTTCGAATTAAATCATATTTATCATATAGAACGTATTATTTATGCTCAAAAGTCGGGTCTTGATTGGAGGAAAAATGCTGATTGTTATACTAAATATTTTCATTTGATTGCTAATATCAAAAAATCTAGAGGAAAAATTTTATCTTTGCAAAATAATGAAGGAATTTGGATAAATGATTTACAGATTTTGAAAGATATGGCTAGATCTTATTTTATAAATATTTTTAAGAGTTTGGATATTAATCTTGATCTGATGCAATTTTATCATTTTCCTAAGTATAATTCGGTTTGCTCTGATCCTAGCTTTCAACAACCCCCTTCTAATCAGGAAATTAAATCACTCCTTTTTCAAATGGATCCAATTAAATCCCCGGGACCAGATGGTTTGCAACCTATTTTTCTCCAACGTCATTGGTCCACTCTTGGTGATTCCATTACTAATTTTATTTCAGATTGTTTCTTAAAGGGGACTATTCCTAATGCTATTAATGATTCTTATATCTCTCTTATTCCTAAGTTTGATTGCCCTATGACTATGAAAGACTTTAGACCTATAGGTTTATGTAATTCCATTTATAAGCTTATCACTAAATGCATTTCTAATCGCTTAAAACCTATTATGGATGATCTTATAAGCCCTTTTCAATCTAGCTTCATTCCTAATAGGTCCATTGAGGAAAACATCATTATTATTAAAGAAGTAGCTCACCACTTTAATAAGGTTTCTAGTAAAGCTAACCTTATGGCTCTTAAAATTGATTTGTCTAAGGCTTTTGATTGTCTTGAATGGAGTTTTATTAAGGACACTCTTCTTAGTATTAATCTCCCTTCTAATATTGTCAATCTTATCATTAGTTGTATTTGTAACCCTAGGATTTCTCTTCTTTGGAATGGAGAAGTCACTGAGTCGTTCTCCCCTTCAAGGGGGATAAGACAGGGTGATCCTCTTTCTCCTTACATTTTTGTCCTGTGTCTTGATCGGCTTTCATGTATGATTCAATATAAGGTTGATAATGGAACATGGAAACCTATGAAAATTGCCAAAAATATTAATATTTCCCACTTATTTTATGCCGATGACGTGTTTTTATTTGGTAAAGCTACTACTACTAATATTCAAACTATGATGGAAGTCCTTGATCATTTCAGGGGTATTTCTGATCTTTCGATAAATATTCTAAAGTCCTCAGCTATTTTTCCTAAAAAAATGAATCATAATGTTAGGAAGTCTGTTTGTGATGTTTGTAATATTTCAAATACTACTAATTTTGGGAAATACCTAGGTATAATCATTTCTCACAAACGTTTAAGCAATTTAAATTATTTTCCTCTTTTAGATAAAACTTGTGCTAAAATAAAAGGACGGCAAGCTAAACTGTTAAATATGGCCAGAAGATGTACTCTTAATAAATCTGTTTTAAATTCATATCCGGTTTATGCTATGCAAACTAATATCTTGCCTGTGAATGTTACCAATGATTTAGAAAAAAAATGCAAACAATTTCTTTGGAATAGAGTCAACCGATCCAAATATATCCCTAGAACTAATTGGAAAGTTGTTTGTGATCCCATGAGAAAAGGTGGTTTAGGTATTAGGGATTTAAAACGTTGGAACATTTCATTTATGGCTAAGCTTGGGTGGAAAATTCTAACTCAGAATAATAAGTTGTGGATTAATATTATGAAAAACAAATATCTAAAATATTCAAACTTCTTTGATTACATTCCTAAGCCTACTGATTCGATTATCTGGAAAGACATCTTAGCTAGAAGGAATGTTCTTAAAAAAGGAGTTATTGTGAACATAGGAGATGGTAAAGACACTTCTCTGTGGTTTCACCATTGGATAGGTGAATGTCCTCTATACCTAGTTCCTAACATCCATATTCCTGATTCTAAAGGTCATTGGCGTGTTTCCGATTTAATAAGAAATAATGAATGGTGCTTAGATAGTGTGATTCATATCCTTCCTCCTTACTTAATCCCTTTAATCCTTGCTTACCCTTTACCTAAAATTGTGCAAGTTTCTGATAGGTTAAAATGGACTCTTCACCATCTGGCACCTTTACTGTCAAATCTGCTTACAATTCTACCATGCCCCCTTATAATCTTAACACTACCTTCCTCTCCTCTTTTCCCTGGAAGAACTTGTGGAAAATTAGAGTTCCTTATAAATATAAAATGCTACTCTGGAACTTAGTCAGGGATATACTGCCAGTTGGTAGTATTCTAAAAAGAAAATTGAATTTTTTAGATCCTATATGTTGCGCTGTGAAGCTCCTATAGAAGATACTATTCATCTTTTCAGAGATTGTCCAAACTCTTCAGCTTTTTGGTCTTTGGTTTTTATGAAATTTAAGTCCTTCAATGTTGATTTGCAAACTTTTTACAACACCAATCTTTCGGAATGGTTAGACTTTAACCTCTCTAATTCTACTTCTTGGAAAAAGGTTTTTACAGTGGCTATTTGGCATATTTGGATCACTAGAAACACTGCCATCTTTGAACAAAAAATGAGTTTTATCCAATCCACTTTTAACAAGTTCTATGTTGACTACATCTTTTGTTTGAGATTGAATCAGGCTGCTATTTTGGATTCTCCTTCATCTTCCACCTCTCAAAATCCTAGACTATGGGCTCCTCCTCAAAGGGGCCTCTTTAAACTAAACACTGATGGCTCTTGGATTAGTGTGGACAATGCTGGTGGAGGGGGGTTATCAGAAATGATAAGGGCATCTGGGTTGCTGGTTTTGCAACTAGGTTCAATGCACTTACTGCTGCCTCGGCCGAACTCATGGCTATAAGAGATGGTCTTTTGCTTGCTTGGGATAAGAAGATCAAGGACTTGGAGCTAGAAACTGATGCTGACAGCTTGAGCAAGATGTTGAAGGATCCAAAATCTTTTGAAGACAGTGATCTGGGCAATATTATTAGAGACGTTGCTGCTCTTTTGGGAAGAAACTGGAATGTCACTATTTTTCATGCAAATAGGTGTGTCAACTATGTTGCTGACAGGTTAGCCTTGATGGGCAGAACCAAATACAAGATTGGTGAGAAGGTTCCTTTCAACTATCCTCCCCCTGAGGTTTTCCAAACTTATGCCATGGAAATTCCAGAAGGACAGAATCCTTAGTCCTACAGCGTAGCTCTGCTCTCCTCTTGCTGCTATTAACAACAACTCTGATGCAGTTATATATTACTATTATGTTCATATGTTCCTGCTTTTAGTCTTTATTTTCTGTTTGGGGATGAATTTTGATAACTCAGTTTGGTCTGTTATACCATCTGATTATCACCCTTCAGGTCTGCTGTTTTGCTTTCAGCACGAACCTATCTTTTGTAATGATGATTTTAATCATCAACTTTATCCTAACTTAATATAAGCTGATGCCCCCCTTTTTGTGTTAAAAAAAACTACTTCATAGCCATCATCACATAACTCATTTTGGTTCTCTTTCTCACCTTGTGAGGATTCATTACCAGGGGTTCTGATCACAAAAAGTTGTTTCCTTGCTGACAGAACCTCATCCAACTCCTCCTCCTCCTTCATACGACCCTTTCTAGTGGAAGCCTTCAGCCATCTCCCCCACCCAAGCGTTTCTTTTTGCTTTTTTCGGACACCATAACACAATCGCGATCGGAATGTCCTATTACTCCACACGCATAGCAAAAGAAAGGAAGCCTCTTATAAGCAAATTCCACCAATACAATGTTGCCACACTTGTCACGGACTCTTTGAACTCTATGCAGAGGTTTTGTTACATTTAGCATTACCTTCACTCTACGGGTACAGTCAAGACCAAGAGGATCCTCTTCAATCTCAACAACTTCGCCCATATTTGAGACTAACTCCTTGACGTTAGAATTAGACCGACAATTGAGAGGCAAGTGTTTAATTCGAATCCAAAACGGAGAATGGTACAAGGGAATTTTCTCCGGTTGTTCGGTCCCATCTACTTCCTTCAGAACAAGCAACATATTATCAAAACACCATGGATAACCATGCAACACCTTCTCCTTATCCCTCCAATTGAAAAATTGGTAGCATATAGGTTAGGCTAGGAACCCTAATAATTAATTTGTCCGACAACGCCCAAACCTTAGTCATGGTAGATTTAAAGGCATCCACATTATAAGGTCTATCAGTCACAATTCACCCAACAAGCATAAGGTCAAATTTTTCATTCGCAATAGAAGAATTAACAGCACTTAAGTCTACAATACCTCTTTCATCGTCAACAATTCGCAATTGAGCATACCTGCCAGCCTTACAACGCCGTCGAAAGGAAGAAAGACAACAACCGTCCCACGGCGGTAGCAAAACCCTAAGCCAAGTTAGAGAGAACGAGCCCTTTCTTTCAAGGGAGTTTTTTTTTTCCTAAACATAGTCAATCTTTGTCTCAGTTCATTGTCTCCATATCCTGCCTCTGTTAATTTTTATGTGCAACTTTAGGATATTATTTGTGAGACATAAAATATTCCAAAATTGCACATAAAAATTAACGGAGGTAGTAATAAGCAGGGATAAAGAATTTTTTTCAACTATGTCAATATGACATAGCTGTTGCATCATATCTAATATGTCTGACGTAAAAATAATGAGTGGAAAATGGACTAAAATGAAATTTTTATTTAAAAAAGGTAAACATACGAGCAACAGTCACAACACAGTATACAGATATGTTACCTACAGAAACATGCATGAGAATGTTTCATCTCAGATTTATATCATAACAGACGGACATTTGACAGATAGGTATGCCCCTTAAATCCTTAATCTGTCTATTACAACTATATTTGATAACTGGTTATGTACACCCAAACACCTACTACTGCAGTCAAACAAGCCGAGGTATATCAGGAATGAAGCAGCTGCTCTAATCTGCATTACCTTGTTATATTAGGATTTTGTTGCGGAGTATACTACCAGTACATTCAGGCTGAACCAGGGAGGTTGGCTTCACCCCTCTCACCAACTGCATAACGAGATGTATCTGCGCTTAGACCTGATGAGTGAAGGTGCTTTCTCTTCTTCACAAGCTGTAAAGCAGTTTGTCTATCTTCTTGTGCCTCAGCTAATTCAGGCTGCCCACATCAATAAATTAGGTATTAAGGAAACTCAATCTTGTTACACCATAGTACCATACTGTACTTGATCATTGATATGCAATTATGCAGGTATGCAGCCATGTAAGAAATAAAGAAAAACTAACCTGAAGGGCCAAAGCTTTGTCAAAGGTTTCAATTGCACCATCAGGCTCCCCAAAATTCAGTTGTGCTCTACCAAGGGTCGTCCAAGCCTAAAAGACAAATCTCAAAACAATATCAGAATGCCTCGTAATTAGAGCCAGATGCCAGAAAAAATGACATGGAATTACTGCAGTGTCTAATCTAATTATTATTAAGCCAACTGCTGTTGGCAGCATAAAATTTGTAGCTAAGAGGGGAATTAATCCATTACAAGCATAATAAAATTGTTTGTGTCACAACTATTGAAGCGAAATGAAAGGGGTATTGGGGTGTAAGGAGAACGAAATAAGATCAATTACCTCAGCCCATGATGGGTCCAATTCAGTGGCTCCTGCATAACAAGTCAAAAAACTGAAGTCAAATCAGCCGGTGATGTTATAAGCAAAATTATTTTAATCACATACATACACAAGAAGCTCACAAGTAAAATACACAATCAAGCATGAAATGGATTCTATTGGGAAGTAGAAAGCAGATATACCAACAATGAACAGCAGAGCAATTACATAAGCAACACTTGTATACATGTGAACTATAAGAGAAAACGCATAAATGAGGAGCTGAAAAAATAAGCATGTAAAAGCATTTTGACACAGTTTATGTAGTCTAACACCTAAAGTACAAAAGAAAACAGACAAAGGAGAGTGTAGCGCACGAGTTGCTGCCTTCAAAGCACCCCAGGAATCTCCAACTTCAAGTAATACTTGAGCCTTCTGTTCGTGCAAAACAGCCTTTTCGGGCATCAAAGTAATAGCAGCCTCCCACTTTCCAAGTGCTTCGCGGTATTTACCATCCTTGAAATTAAGGGTGGGGAAGGCAGCATAAGATTCCAACTTTAAATAATTTTATCAACAGCATACTAAACACCAATTTTTGGGCAACAGGACAACTACAAAAACATTTATTGCAAAAACAAACATGCTGGAATAGCTATTAACTTATACCAGACTAAGAGAAACACAGACAGCAGTGTATAGATAAGCCATAAACCGCATAGATATCAAAGGACTCAGATGTTCACTGCAAAAAAGTTAAAATGTGCAAATGCTAAAAAACAACTAAAACCAACATTTGCTTGCTCTACATGCAGGACATCACTTAAGAGTTCCATTAGGAAACAATTATTCAAAGCATTTGGCTTGTACATTAAGAGGGCATTTATATAACGCAGTTAGGCAGATATGAAACTAGTCACAAATTCATAATTTCAGTTTTAAAACAAAAATCAAGATGATTTGCATATATAGGTGAGGTCAAGACAAGCTTGCTTGCCAATCCCACAGGAGCAAGAATAAAATCTGGAATGAAGTGTAGACTTTTTTAGCACAAAAAAATGCAATCAGCTTGAAGATTGTTTTAAGAAAATCCATTACAGTTCAATTTTTCTTTACAGCTCTTCACCTTTCATGCAAAAGAGAAATAAGAGCAAATTTGCACACATGTTTCCGTTGAATAAAGTTACATGCTATAAGAGTTTTATTGAATAACCAAATAAACTCTGCACAGCTCAACAACCCATGTAACAATTTTTTTAAAAAAAAATTGAAAATAACAAGTACATTGTTGGTTGCTAGTCAATATCCCACCATGCTACACAGGAGCTCCAATGTTCTTCAAAAGAAAAAAAACACAGACAAGTGGCCCTTCTTAGCTCGTCTAATATAAATTGGGCCTAGCCTAGGGATCATCTTTGGAAGTGGCCTTCTAAGATTAAGTTAAGGATAGAATGATAACCACACTTCTAAGCCCATCTCTCTTCATCTATTCCCTTTCAACCCAGGCACTCTTTTACTACTCAAGCAAGTGGATGTCTAAACTCTGAAAAACCTCCCCTAAATATATGTGTTCCAACTCCCCCTTATATATGCTTACTAGTTCCTAACAGTCATGGCAGTTTGATTTTGACAACCTTTCACGGCCTCTCGAGCCCACAACATGAGTCAATTTCAACATCCCATGAATTATAACGCTCTCCTTCACAATGCTATATACCGAATGACCTAACACAAGACCAAGTTAACTAGCTACACCTAGATTAGGCAGAGTCTAAGGCCCATTTGAGCCAGAATCTAAATTAGGTTGAAGGTATACACCAATAAATATCTCGTTTGAGTTATTTCATATGCAGCACTCTTTACTTCACATCAGCACATGCTGCAATACAATCATTTATTCACAAGTAATCTAATGACAAGAAGAAAATCATGACCAATATGTTTATTAAGTAAGCATAACCAATTAAAATACTGTCTATAGCAGCCCTTGGAGAGGATGGATCCTAGAGAATGAAAAACACGAAGATCTCCTGTGATAGGAACAAAAAATGTACACGTTCTGATCTTCTAGAAGATTTCAAAATGGGCAAAGATTAAACCATGAATTCTCCACTTTCAAGTTGAAGTCCCTGAGGAAAAATATAAAGGAAGAGATGAAGAGTATACTTCATAGATGTGGTGTGAAATTTGATGTATGAGGATGATATGAAATCCTCTAAAGTATAAAGACACTTACAGAATAAGTTTACGTCTTGGCCCATAAAAACAAATCTTGACATACAGGGACGTCTCCCAAGAGTGGAGTCTTACAACAAGAAGAAGCCTCCTCTAGTGGATTCTTAGATTTATGCCCCTTATAGAGAATGGCATACATCATTTTCAAACCAAGCACATCTCAAGAAGATGTCCTTGGAATGAAGAAACTATGGGAGACCAGTAGTTGGAACTAGAAAGGATTCAAAAAAATTAACTTAGATTGGTTACTTGGTTAGCAATGACCAATCAAGCTCCTTGATTAAGACTAGGATGGATTATTATAAAGCAATTTCAGCTATATTAAGGTTCGGTATTAATCAATCGAGCACGTTCATGTCATTTCCTTTACCATGTGAGTAACACTGCTTTGAACTGTTTCACAAATGGTACATGTTGAATCTTATCACCCCATTCTCTTCTTTTATACTAAAGATCCTAAAAGAAGCCATTCTGGGCTGCAGAGAACAATATAATATCGTATCTGCTCCAACGAATTCGTCTATATGGTATACACAGGAGAGACTTAGTATCAACACTATTTGTGATAGAAGGCAAATTTTACTCTATTTTTCTTGCAAACTTCAAGATGCCTCTCCAAATTATGCTAACTCAGATCATTTTTAGAAATAAAGCCAACATTTGGATCATTATTATATAATGTCCACATTCAATTATAACTCTTCAGCAAATGATAAAACATCAAATTATCTCTAATACAACCATCTTAAAAAAGGCTATACTATCTGAAGTTAACTACAACTTCATTAAACTATAATAACAAATTGAACCAAAACCCCTATCAACCCAAGTAACAAAAGAAACAATCTTTCCAAATTCCAATAAGATAAAAACAATATTAACATTTTTAAGAAGGAAAAAAAAAAAAAACAAAAAGAACAATTAGGTTAAACTTCAAAAAATCCTAACAATCAGAAACCCAACTGCCCAAAAAAAGGTGGGGGGGAAAAAAAATCAAACGATAACACAAACTAAAAATTTGCAAAATTTCAAAGTTAAAGTAATAATTAAATTTCAGAAACCCAAATAAGCAAAAGATTAAAAAATTAAAGAAGAATTACCTCAGCAAGCTTGTTTCCTTGTTCATGGAAAGAATCGGCAAGAGAAGAATCAAGGGTTTTATTGGGAATTTGGGGATTGAGTGAAGAAGGAGGAGAGTTAGATTGTTTAAGTTGATCATCTTCTTCATCGTTTTCAAATGGAAGGTTAGGTATTGCTAACCGCTTGCTCCCGCTCTTCTTTTTCCATGTCATCTTCATTTTCGTTGTTTCTGGATTCTGTGTTTTTGCTCTGTTTGATTCTTGGTTTCCAGACAATAGCAAACATTTGTTGTTAGAGTTAAAGATGTCAATTTACGTGTCATCGGATTCGGTGAAGTGGAGTCGGAACGGGTTAATTTTTAAAGTTAAGTCATCTTCGATTGTTGTATGGTTTTGACATCTCTAGTTAAGTTTTTACTCAACATAATAGCTTATAGATCCTTGCTAGGTTAATTAGTCACTCCTATGATAGGTTAATATAGAGAGTCATAATCCCAACTTCCCAAGAGTTTCGAATTGAGTGTTTTGATATTAGATTGTATGACGCATTTATATTTAGGGTATGTTCTTTTCAGCTTAATTTCAATTCAATTCCAATTAGTTCAGTTCAGTTCTTAATTTCCTATTCTAAGAAAATATTCACTTCACTTCAACTCCAATCAATTCAGTTCAGTTCAGTTCATTTCAGCTCAGCTCAGCTCAGTTCAGTAAATCAGAACAGACCCTTAGAAATACTGATTAGTACGAAATAACACATGTACATGTCTAAGTTACAAATACACGCTCTTGTTTATTGGCGTCAAAGGTGTTTGGGCTTTGGAGCTTGTAATGACCGTGTTTCGGGGTTTTCGGATGTCATGCGGGAGAGTTACAATTCCGAGACTGGAACCGAACGCATGTACCTGCAAAACAAACGGATGCTCCGGACGATTGGAGATCCGCCTCCGACGGTCAAGTTAGTACTTGATTAAGGAGTAATTAATGCGGAAATAAATGTAATTGAGTCTCTCTAGGTGAGAGTGTTAAATGTGCGTCATCCCTCTTAATGAGGATTAATGGGCATATTTATATGCCTTGGGATGCGTGCCAGTACTAGGTTTAGGTTAAACCTAAGGCTGACTGGGCCTCCCACAATGATTGGGCCTTGTTGGCCGGTTTTCCCATTTGGCATGGGTGGACACGTGTCACATTGCAATTGGTCCAAGGAGGACGAATCTCTTGATGACACGTGGCAGGCTCCTATTGGCCTACATGAAGGACACGTGGCGAAACCTGGCTGGCCCACGTGTCAGATGCTAATTGGTGGATAAAAATCCCCTAATCATTTGCCCCTCACAGGTGGCACGTGACTGGTCACGTGTTATCTGTGACAGGTGTCGCACCGTGACAGGCGTCGGCCTGCTACAGGTGTCACTCGGCGAAAGGCCGAGAGATTCTCCCGCCCAAATTTTGAATTTGGGAAGTGACCCTTCGCCTTCTCACTTTGCCTATATAAGGGTGTGTTGACTTCAGTCATTTTCACACTTGAGAACTTTTTAGAGAGAACATTCGGACCCCTGAACTTGATTTGACATTTCGGACTCTTTCTGCCTACCGCCTGCTCTGACAAGCCGACTACACAGGATTTTCAGAACTCCGTCAACTTCACTCGTTCAGGTAACCGTCGGTTCTCTTACTCTTAATTTTCTGTTTATTTTATTCTTTTTTGGAATGGCACCACGGAAGCACACGACACGACCTAGGTTAGTGATCAGCCGGTCACCGGGGACGGCTGAATCTAGGACTAGGAGTGCCGCCTGCCCTTTTCCGGACCCATCTTTGCCCTTTATACAAAGTCCGACTGTCTCTGTGTCTATGCAGAACATGATGGCCAGAACAAAAAGAACTGCTAGGATCTCGAACTCAGACGGCTCCTCCCACAGGGTGCCGATTAGTGAAACATCTGACCAGGCGCCAGATGTGGAAGTTAACCAAGGCGGCTTGACAGCCGACAGTTCTGAAGGAGGGGTCAAGGTGACCCCTTCCCATTTTACAGTTGACAAGTCTACATTCTCTCCTGCTCCTTTTGAAGGAGAGAAGGCGGGCCCCTCTGGGAGAGGGGAGGAGTCGTCCTCTTCGGACTCGTCAGAGGACGAATCCGAGTCTAGTTCTTCTGGTCATGCCTCTTTGGACACGGAAGAGAAAAACAGCCGCCTACAAGAGGCGAGGCTTTCTCACGCAGTTGAGAAGGGGGACAATTGGGCGGAGCCATCCGCCTCTTACCGAGAGCAAAATACCCCTTACTACTGCACTGTCCCACGGGGCCAGATCACGGCCATGCAAGAGAGAGTGGGGAGCTTTATTGCGAACCACACAATGGGCCCTGGCTTTTTAGTTTTCGTGCCGGATCCAGAAGACACAGTCGTCTGGCCGGCTGGCACTAGTTATGATAGCGCCTGCTTTGGCTGCTATGAGGCGGCCATCAGCGCTGGGCTGCGCTTCCCACTACATCCGGTTGTTCAGCGGATCTTGGATGGGTATGAGTTGGGGTTATGGCAGTTAGCCCCAAACTCCTGGGTCAACGTACTCGGCTATGTGGCCGGGTGCGAACTGCACGGGGTGGAGCCAAACTTCGAGGCTTTCGCCCACATGAACTACCTCAGTCGGACCCCTAAGGCAGGCGGTACCGGCTGGTATCAATTGACGAGCCACAGAGGCTACCTCATGACGAGAGGTAAAGCAAACAAGTGGAAGGATTGGCGAAGCACCTTCCTTATCATTGAAAGTTCAGACACAGAGCTGAACAAGCGCTTCAACAGGTGGAACAGGAATCCGCCTCTTCTTGCAGGCAGCCGCAGCATGCCGCCTGTTCCCCCCAAAGCTAAGAAAGAGATCCTGGATAAAGGACTCTTTAAAGTAGAGTCGAGGGTCGACTCTACTACAGGGGTACGAGAGCAAGTACCCCTGCACTGCATCCCGAGCTTCAAATGGCTCTATGACGAGTACTTTTTGGCCGCCTGTGGCCTCAGCAGTCGGTGCTCAAGAGGTAGCCGGCCTGTCGAATACTCTGTTTTTCCATGCATTACTGTTATGACTTTTTATTAACTTTGCTATTTGTTCTTGCAGCGGACGCCATGAGCAAAATTACCACCTCCAAGACTGCAGCGGCCATGTTGCGAGCCTCTATTATGCAACAATCCTCAACCGACTCCAAAAAGAATATTTTTTTCAGACGGGCACTCCAAGACCCGGAGGACGACTGTTGCGAGCTCTCCTGGTACTGCCAGGAAACATGCGGCGGCTGAGAAACAGCCGTCCACTCCTTCTAAAACTCCAATCGGGCCGCCTAGAAGTATGAAGCTGTCCTTATGAATTTAGACTTGCTACCTTCTTTACTAGGTCTAACCCGTTTGTTTATGCTTGATGCAGCCGGCCCTCAGGAGCCAGACTTGGTCGAGGTGGCCAAGTCTATGATCAAAGTCGTCCCTCCGGCTGAGAGGGAGGCGGTCAGGGGTGTCGCCACCCTTGACCTAGACGGGATTGCAGGGGTCCTTGCTGAGGTATACTTAGCATATTTTTGGTTATTTAAATTCCAGGACGCCTGTTTTTTGTTTGAGAACTGACGCCTGTTCCCTTTTACTTAGGCCCTGCTCCGAGTGAACGGCCTTCGCAAGCCGCTTGACAGGAAGAACAAAGAAGTAAAGGCTGCAAAAGCTATGGTCGCCTCTGACTATGATAAGGAAATGTTTCAAATTGCCCAAAATGAATTTTTGACAATTGATATTATTTATTATCAGGCGCAGGCTACTTCTGCTATCCGGGCTCAGTTAGAGGCGGCCCAGAAGAAAAATAATGAGCTGGAGGCGACCATCAACAATCTCAAGGCCGAGCTGAGACCTTTTCGCCAAAAAATGTCCTCATACGACACCTTGGAGAAATCCTTGGTACACGTTAAGGAACGCCTGGTGACCCAGGAGAAGAGTCTTACTCAGGAGCTCTCGGCAAAGGCCGAGCAAGAAAAGAAGGAGCTGGTCCGAGAGATGATGGAAGACTCTGCTCAGATCCAGCGCCTGACCTGGGGCCGCCTCTTCCCCAATGCCGACTTTTCCTCCTGGGAAAAAATGTACCGCCAGTGTTCTGATAGATATAATCAAGAGATCCTGGCGGCTGCTGAGGACGAGGCGTTGGAGGAGGAGGAGCCGGTAGTGGCGCTTGTGCCGCTTGGGGTGGATGCATCAAAGAAGGATGCAGGTGAAGCCGAGTCCAGCAAAAAGAGTGCTGACCAGGCGGCAGCTGCTATTATTGAAGATCTCCCCCCTTCTTAAGCTTTATGTCTTCTTTTTACGGCCTGCGTGCCGTTTGTTTCTGTTTACCCGGCCAAGGGGCCGGGGTTTTGAATATTTTGCCGGTCTTAATGACCGGCTTCTTTTTGTATCTTTTACCCGGCCAAGGGGCCGGGGGTATGAATATTTATGTCGGTCCTTCTGGCCGGCTGTTAATGCCACGTGGATGCCTTTTTGCCAAAATGTTTCGAATTTGTTTCGTTTCGAATTTGTTAAGTATCGAAACTCTGATATCCAATTGCATACTTATACCGACTGTTTTGCATGGCCGATAGTTGCGGACAGGTACGAGGTAGTTAGTCACGCCACCTATGCCCCTGGACGACTGGTTGTCTGTTTCCAGGCTAAGCGATCAGTCGGCCACTTTAAAGACTGGATCCCCTTCAACCAAGTAGGAAGGTGGTTTCCTACCTGCCTTGTTTTTTTTTTTTTTAGGCTAAAGACTCTAGTCGGTCCAGGCCGACTGTTCCCCGACACATTTAATCTAGTGTGAACAAGCGCTGTATGAACACCTTTTTAGTCTCATACTAAATTTTTAAGGAGTGACCAAGTAAACATGATTGTTACCTAATCGCCGAGTGACTGAGTAGTAGAGGTTTCAAGCGGTGGGTACCGGTTGTTCCCCTTTATTCGCCAATGTTTGTTGGCTATGAACTCATAAGATACCGACTGTTCTTATCCCAAGTAGTTCAGTCGGTTGGTTGACACGGATGGTTACTGCGAACACTTGTTTGACCTGATTAGTCAGTTAAGTGAGAGGTATCCTTGTCCGGGAAACGGCTACGTGGTTGTCTTGGTTAGACAGTCGTATAAGTGTCGTGTAATGGTTTTATAGAACAATGTTCCACCCAAAAGGGAGATGCTCTCTGCGACGAATTTCATCCGGATGGATGCCGTCGGACGCTTGCTATAATGTTGGGACAGGTCGAATTAAACTTATATTTGGATCAGTTGGCTTGGCGCCTGGTCTGATCATTT